GGTTAGGTTTGTCGCGTTGGAGTCGGAATGTGTTGCGGTGGCGTTAGGTTTGTTGGGTCCTTCATGATCAAGGACTTGAACAACATTCTAAAATGGTCACGTTCAGTGTCAAACGGAGATATTGATATGTGAGGCATTTCCCTCTCCATTTAAAATCGGCTTGTTATACTTATACTAGATACACGATTCGTCCAAAATCATCATTAATGGAAAATGAACGGGATATAAATAGTTTAAACAGCATGTATGCATGTACAGGCGTAGGAAATCTGATCAGTAAATTTAAGTTAAATTATTACTTACTAGCTATAAAATGTGAAGAAGTTTAATTAGGCCTAAATCGAGGAGAACAGAGTTAGGCTACTTTTCAATTTTATATAATTATGTCTCAGTAAATATAATGGCAGTTATGCTACATCTATTCCCAAATCTATGCAGACTATGTCGTCCAAGTTAACAAAATTAGCATCTGCAAGACCGCAACAACTGCATTGTATAAACATATATAGAATGACTTATTAACCAGGAAGTTTTTAACTGATTGACACGCTAGATTACATGCACCATGCAGTGGCTATTTGAAGAGTGTATTTTGCGCTTTAGCCGCCAGCCAATATTTAAGTGGGAACTATACAAGCCGATATATATTCCATATAAAGCGGGATTGCTTACCTAAAAGGTTTCAGATCGCATCTGACGGCTTAGGGTGGATGAATCAGGCAATTGTTGTGACCACAGATAGTTTGAGGTAAGCACACCTAATATATGTCCCATGTACATATGATATAGAAGTATAATGTAAGACATGTAAGGATTTGCTCCATCTTTATGATATCAAGCAATAAATTTCTGGCACGATTTTGCCTGTGAACTAAACACGCTTATTTTGTGCGGTATCATGCAAGTTCTGCGTTCAGTAAGGCACATGCTTGTCTGTATACATATATATATACATTGCATGTGTATGCAAAGTGAAATGTACAAGGTGTTGAGGTGAAAGTGTGGGATAGTCTAATTTTTGCGTTGACTATGACTAAAATAAATGTATAAGATGTAGTTTTGTATCATTGCATGTGTCCACAGTTATTAATCGAGCTGCCTGACCATCAGATTATAAGCAAGCTGAATGTCTGACTCTGAGCATGTTGACCGATCAAGTCAAAAGTTGTTTGTGCAATCTCTGGATTAAAAATTCTAAGGTAATGAACATTAATTGCGGCAGTTATGAACATCAATTGCATGCGGCTGGTGCATGTGGTTGATAGAATACGTGTCTCTATAAATATAGAGCTGACTACACAGTAAAAGATGTATATTGTGTCCATTATAATACCACTGATGTCAATTAATATAGTAACAATAGTATATAATGTCAATGAATGTAATCAAATATCTCGATAATTACACATACTTTATATACTGGCTGGCATCACCCACTCGATATACACCGACAACTGGACTGTTAGTCAGTTGGTTAGGGCGCTGCACCGAAATAGCAGAGCCCCCGCGGCATTTTTCGCTCCTGGTTATAGGTCTAAAATTGTATATAATATTCCGCTGGAAATTTTCATCTACAAAAATCTTTCAATTGCATCTTAGTTCTATCGAGCGAGGTGCCCAAAAACTGATATCTCAATTAATATAGGCCTATAGTGTAGAGTAGACTGACTAAATCGATCTTTATAGACATAAGTTGGAATGTGGTGTGTGGTTTGACCATTGAGAGGCGATGAAATATATATATAGTTCACAAACACAAAGATCTTCCCGAATTTTCACGAATCCGTACTAGTCATTAAATTGATAGGCTTAATAATCATAATATAGGAATACTTAATAATCACAATAGTCATATAGGCTTAATTTGATCTAATACCACAAGCTACAATTTTGGACATAACTGGTTGAGACTACTTTCCCCCTATAGAAAATTCGCATATTTTTTATGATTAATTAGTCCATGTTGAATCATGTTGCCCTTCTTAATTAAGCGGCCGGCTACCCCAATTCAATGTAGAGCTTGTGTCCTGGTGTATTACCAAAAGTTGTTTCGGCATTGTTTACAGCATTGGGGGAGACAAAGTTTGTTTTGTCAATGTTCAATAACGTTGTAATATTGGCTGGAATGGTCTCAACGGTTTTGTCCAAGATTGAAGATTGTAGAATTAACATCATCATAATGAGGATACAGTATATGTACTCAATTTTTATATTGAAAATAGTATTTTATAACAACACTGTAAGGGAGTTCAATCAACTCTAAAACTGTTATTCTGTCTCCAAAAACGGTGACACAATAACACTAAACATTCTTTTGGAGTTGATTGAAATTAAATAAGTTCAACTCCTTGAAAAGTGAAGACGAAATGACGTCATGGTTACATATAGCCATGACATTTTCTGCTGCGGAAATTACGCTGGGGGATTCCCAAGGCTAACTTGGCATGTCATTTTCCCTTATTATTACTTCGTTATTGTTTCTATGTAAGTAACTAGAACTGTAACTATATGAATTACAATATGCGTGAAATTCATTTAATAAAATTGAATTCATAATAAAGTTGAGTTGTAAATTACACGGTGAAATTAACACTGAAGTGACTTTGTTGTCCATTTGAACCCTATATAGTCAATCATCCGCACGTCAATGATATCTCAAGCATAGTACTAGAGATGAAATCAAATTAAAATTCTTTACGGTCTATTTCCAATAAAACACTTGTTTGAATGCGACAACAGTATATATGAAGCTCCTAGTTTGTGGGATATGGAAACGGTCTAAACATGAGACTATAACTTTCTCTGACATGCAAAAATATAGCTAATTTGAGGATAGATAAAAACCTAAACCAAAACCTAAATTAAGATTAGTCTTTCTTTATGCACGATGGATAGCATAAAGGCTTCATGGTTTACACCATCAAAGTGTCTGTGATCACAGTTGCAATTTTGCATGGAATATTTGAGGGAACTGACTTACCACCTCAAACATTTCTTACAAATCCATCGAAACTTACTACGAATTTACTATGCAAAATTCCTACAGTATTCGCAAAAACTTTGATAGTGCAACTGAACCAGCCTTTAACACTTCTAAACTTCTCAGTCCCTAACTAATTAATAAGGACCCTTCATTATTGGACCATTGTTAGGCAAGAGGAAGGAGACATATTGCGGGTATTAGGAAAAGCCTGCATGTGATATCTGGTATATAATCTTCTGGAAGCATTCGTACGTGCAACTATTAGTGTATATAGCCTGAGGTGATATTATAATCAGAACATCGCATAATATTTGAATCGAAAGCTAGTCGCAGAGTGGAAATACACACAGTATTTATGTTACATTGTTAGCGCACCTGCGATACCAACACTCTCCCGAAAGAAAAATGTTTTTATTGAAATTTACGGATATGGCGTATCCCGCTGTTTACGTCACCAGTAATTTGCAGCTAGAGATCATTTTATAAGCTAATTGCCACAGAACACATTGAGTGGGTGTTCCCAAGTCAACTGGCTGCCGACACGATTTTATAAACAGATCAAACATGGCACGCGTTCCACGTCAGATCTTAATTCCGATATTGTTATCTCACACAGATCGGATTTATTTTGATCTTCTAATATTCGCGAGCAGATTTACTGCCTGTAATTAAGATGCTTAATCCGGGCTAATTGTTTGTCAGCCGCACAAAAAGAAATATATAATAAGTCAAACATAACCAGTGGAGTAAATCGACCAATATGACGTGCTAGCATATAGTCAAAGAATACTATATGTGAATTAGGGCAGCTGATCTAACATAATATACACTGGCATGCAGTTTACCTGTGAAATATTTGGTATTTAAACAGGTGTTATGATTGGAGTCAAAGATTAGGCTGCTCCGCTTCATATTTCATTCCAGTAGACACGCGCTAAACTAACATAATTATATATGCTGTCCACTGCACACTTGTATTGATCCATATCTTAAAAGATATCCTCCCCTTAGTTGTTTTCACCTTGTTTTCCACTAGGCCTACTGCTCACAAAAGTATATACAAGTTAACTCGAACCATATACAATGATACAGAGTATAGCATATAAACAAGCATTGTAGCATTCTGACTACTGCAGCGTGTCCTTGTAACCATAGATTGTCTTGGAGTAGAATGTATACGCTTAATTACATAAAGTAAAATCAATGAATGCAATATATTTATTAGTATGCATGCATGCATGCATGTAAGCTAAACAAGAAAAAAGAAAGTGATGGCTATAATCAACTTGTGGCGGTATTCAAAGACCGGTAGCCTTTTCAGCCAAATTTCAACTCAGCAATTTTATGTTGCTGGTACTGAATCCAAATTGAGCAACATGTTTTGTCATCTTTCAAACGTGCAGTAAATCAGAAATGCTAGATGATTATATAGCTTGTTTTTTCCAAACTTCAGAAATTAATGGCACTTAGTCTTCTATGGACTATAGTAATTTCCATATACACAAATGCTACGAAATTCATTGAGTGGCCCTCTTTCAAATGCTAAGAATAGCTCAAGCCAAGCCCATTGTTTCGAGATATACTATAGATATGCTAATTTAGTCATTTGAAATGACTGTCGTCAAATTAATTGTACAGCGCCCTACGTTCGCTAGTTGTCGATAAACGCTGAACGAGCACGGAGCTTGTGAGATCGAAGCTGAGAAAAACAACTATTTAACAAAGTTTAGAGGTAAATAAAAATAAATATTCATGCCTTGTATTCATTAATAATAACTTCTTAGGCTAATACGTGTGGCTGCTTTGAGAGTTTGCGTGGTTGTGCGATTTATTAATTCTTTAACGAGACAGGCTTTAGATTTTGAATTGATCGAGGACCTGATAGAAGAATTAGGAGATTATAGGGGTCTTTGCATTTTTATGGCCTAGCAAGTGAATATATATATAAACATGTAGGGCTGCAGAGATTTCAGTGTTTAGTGAGCAACCGAGAGTTAAACCGCATCTTTTTTCTTGCAGAAAATGTTTTACGAGCGCCCCGATAGTCACATGCTTGAATCTCGTATGGGATTTCCACATGATGGTAGTTATGAAGACATGTGCAATAGCAATGGTCTGAAGGAAGATCACTGGCAGAAAGTTCAGAATCTCCTGCCAACACCACCATGTTCACCAGAAGAACTTTGCTACCAAGCAGGATTTCCAGAGTTCATGCCACCACCAGCACCACAGAGTAACTTCCAGCAAGGTCTACAAGTGGTGCCTGACGAAATCCCAGATGACTTGGTGGACACTGAGGTGGACTTGTTACCCGTACTGGATATCAGCGATGAAGAGATGCAGAAATTAACATCGCCTACGATATTTGATGATACCATGTGGCAGATGCATTCTTCGCAACAACCACAACAATCTACGCCACAATGTGAAGTGTACGACAACAGACCGATCAGCGTAAATGATGTGAACTATATCTCGCACGGTATTCGTACTGTTCATATTTCGGATCAAGTTGTAAGGTCTCCCGCGTACAGTCAATCATTTGTACTAACCGTCAATGCGAACCCCATTCAACCACTCAACACGATGGGACACCTTATCACGCGAGAAATCCTAGCAACTCCTACGAATTCTGGCATAATTTCAGGTACGTTACTACGCATTTCGTCTCTCTTACTATGAAATGTTTTACGGAGAAAGCACATTAAAATAGCTCGTGTGTTCAAATGATGTATAGCTATATATTTAGTTTGTAAACGAACTAAATTTTGTAAGTGTACTCGTAGTATTTTCAAGTGTATCAGTCCATGTGGTTTAATTAGCTACCAGCCTCGTTTACATGTAGAGTAGATGGCACGAGCATGGCTACGCGTGCGAAGCTAATTTTCGTCACTGCAGGGTAGTGCTAGAGTTTACACTCAAGGAATCACCATGCTGTTTCAAAATTGTTGATTAAGTTAACCAATATCAGAGGGAACACCTTGTATTTGTAAACATGGTCATTCCTCCGTAGCTAACGGTAATTACTCTCTTTAAAATTTCTTGATTGAATCGAAGTCATTGCGGTTAGACGATGAGTCATCGCGGTTTATTCGCTGGAAAGTGTTCTGAAATTGGCGGCCAATAAATACGAACTCAGCCGTGACCGTAATTATCCAAACCGCAAAATCAACTCAGTTTTAACTATACGAGGCAGTGTTCCAATTTCCTAAAAGAAGTCTATCAGCAGCAAATTATGTGAAAATTTTATATTGGGGTTTGTGGGCATAACAGGAAATCCACACTTTATTGTGTACTCAGAGCGTAATGCGATAGTTGTTTCGGCACGCGTGCACCGTACGCCTATTGCTTTCGAAATAGTTACTCATTAATGAAGCACTGCGCGCCTGAACACTTGCCAAATATTTTTCAAATTTCTATACATGACTCTTAATTAAGGAGATCCTAGGATCTTCCTTAGTCATAGAATTCATTCGTTGGGTAGCATAAACGTGAGAGTTTATTACAAAACACATAGTAACATATAGTCAATTTTTCTGTCTGCGATGAATGCTTGGTCAGTTTATCACAATTAGATGCAAAATGAAAGCTGTAAAAAAAGTCAATCACCCCTTCCTGTATGATATTGTTGCTCTTTGTATAATAAAAGCCTAGCTCGTGTACACACTATTCATTTCTCCCTCGGGAAAATTACTGAAAATCAAGTTGGTCATAAAAAGATCATTTTCAACCCGTAATGGCAAAGCTTTTCATTAAAGCTACAGCTAAGTGATTAGGCACGCGTCGACACATCTTATTTGTTTAGACTTTGATCTATGCTTAGTGATTTATCTTCCTTATGAGAATCGAATGTTTCCTGTCAGAATTATCATGGCAAAGCATTTCACAAGTTGAAGATTCCTCCATTAAAACTGAAACAAGAAAGACCACTTTCTTGTATGTATTTCTTTTCAGCAAATTCGCGGTCTGAGGATTTGGATTTGCAATTTTAGTTCCGCTCGAGTAATTTTTCATCTTATAGCAACCGCGTGGTCAGCCAGCACTAACCTTGAACATTAAGTTTAATATGCGTTAGGCAAAGATTAAGTTGATCGTTAGGCTTAGCTTGGCTGGCACTTTATGAGTACGGACAAGGTATGCGTATTATTGTATGTGGGCCCAAGTCTTGTGTAGACCTGATCACGACAGCGAGGTATCGTTCTGTGTGTGGGGCAAAGCGTTCTTTGATAATTATGAATAAAAGCATTTCCTATCTAATGCGAAGGATTGATATTAACGCTTAATGAATCAGTTAAGCCTTTAGTTAAAGAGGGTATCCGTAGATTAACACATCAGCTTGCTAATAGTTTCCTTTTGAAGTTTATTTTTAATAAAGTTTTCGGCAGAATTTCAATAACAAGAAGATTAAAATGTTCTGACGAGATGAACTATACTTGGCTATATATACCTGCATGTATATCAAATAGAGTACTTATTTACATATGTGTTTTTCCTTCATGAATTTAGTCTTTAGATCAATTTTTGCATAATGTACTGACGAAAACCGTCATTTTTATAGATTTCAGCGAAAGGGGCATACATGCACTCTTCATAACTCCAAAGTTGATTGTATGAAATTTTAAATAATAGCTCAATTTAGTCCGGTTGTGATGCATGCAAGAGCACGCGGTATGTAACTGAAAAGCTTGCTATTCCGACAGTGGCCCTGATAGTTTGCAGAATGATGTTCTCTTAGTCATTTACAGCCAGGTCCGAGTCTTAAGCTCATCTTCTACGCAGGCTAATATAAACCAAACGTCATCTGGATAGATCATTCAGTATGCCTTATAAACAGGATATAACATGATATAATATAGATATACTGTTTACTGGAATATGTTATGAAATGAAAAAAGTGCCTGAATAGTGAATAAGGACAAAAGTCTAAAAGTCTTAGGATCGTTGATTTTATATTTATTAAATACCTACTACGTGCACAGTATATTTTATAGTATATAATATAGGCGGGCAATATACAAAGGAGACTTTAGTTATTAGTTACGAGTTTTGTTGATCTTATTGTTGACATATACTAAAGAAAACAGCTGCTGTGTTAAGCATATGGCCCCATCTGATTAAAATGCTTAATAAAAAGCAGGAATCCGCTTAAAAACTCGAATGTGCAATTTCATTTGTACAATACATACAATCTATGATCAACTCTCTCACCGAATTTTCAAGCTGATGTCGAGAGTAAACTAGCATTTCACAATATATGACTAGGCAACTTTGTTGTTAGTTGAAAAATAATTTGTAACTACCAGTAATTCAAATATTCAATACATTAGTGACTGTGCCAACACCTGTTCTGCAATCTATGGAGGGATTATTCAAATTCTTGATTCAATTCATTCATTCACCTTGCTACCATGGCAATAACGGCATAGCATTACTTAATTGCATCTATCCACCAATCATATTACTGGGCGTTTACTCTTTGTCAATGATAGCATCTTTTGAATGAGCGAGTAAAATTCTGACACGCACTCAATTGATAAACACTTCATTATACGTTGCCAGTTATATAGTGTAAATAACGGAACGGAAACCAGCATTGAATTAGAGGAACTGAACAGTTTAGAGTAGAGGTATCAAGAAAAGCCGGATGAGATTTTCCCGCTTTTAGACAAGCTGAATGAGTTTTAAAATAAACTGATTTAATTAACTAAACATCAATAAACTTTTTACTCCGGGCCATCCGTCTACTAGTTTTAAGCTGTTTCCCCTAGACATCATTAAGTCTCATTCCCTATATTGTTTAGTGTTTCCACAGGAAGAATTCGGACTGTAATAATTAGTATAAATTCATCATGAAAACATATTCTGACTTAAAAACTAAAATAAGAAGATATTATCGGAATCAACTGATCCAGTAACAACGGTATAAGTCGGAACAAAGAAGACTGTGCCATCAAAACTCCTCAGACTCGCAATGACTGAATCAATCACCTGCCGCCTGTCAATCTCATGTAGCAAATCTGAGAACTTGTTACAAATTCATTTTTGAAAAACGTCAATGTTACATGTAAAACCTTAAACTATCCATCACGGATGGAAACTACAGTTGATCATATGGGAATCTAGGACATGCTGAAGACCTGCAGCTATCTGCACGGTGCTTTGGAGTGCAGCTTTAAATAGATATGCATTTACATTTAAACATTATTCTTTTGATGTAAATTATAGTGGTTTCCGACATATGTAGTGCTAAACTATGTGGTTTATATGCAAATATGCTACTTGCCGTTGGGTTTGTATACATTTTCAGATGAGATGGAGTATATTACAACATGAATTTTTCATGAAGCTTGTCAGGGGAATTGGTTGAATCCAAGGTCCAACGTGCAGACCATTATATCTTTCGTACATACATACATACATGCATGCATGGAAAGACAGCAATGTTATGCATATTATTCCCAGTAAGAAATAGAGCATACTAATTGCTATTTGGCTGAGATATCGATAGAGTATAACATATGCTTGGCCCACGATTCACTTCGCCAACGCCTTCAACTTAATATACATTGTAGGGACCGTTCACACCTAGCGCACATTGAGATCGATCTAAATCAGAAGGATCTCAAACCGAAGCCGGTTCCTTGGACCTCTTGTGCACTTTCCATACTTGCACAAAAACTTGAATGAGTTAACTATACAGTTAACTGAACAGGAAAAATGGGAGCCGGCTAAGCAAGAAATTAGCACGGTTGTCAAACCTGAACCGATCTGAGACCACTTCTTGAGGTGGTCTACTTTAGGTCGATCTGGAATCGGTCGCCGAGCTCGTCATGTTTGGTTGTCCACTAAGTCCATTTCGATCGATTTAAATCGTCTGTGTGAACGCCCCCTATAGCTAGCGATTTAAAGTATGACAATTGTGAACGGCTCCTCCGAAAACGAAGAAATATTAGTCATGTGCATACACTTGCTACTACTTTCGTAAATATATACAGTGTATCAGAAATTGCATGGCAAGTTCCAGACACAAGAAAGCTGTAGTATTGGCCCATGTAAATAAAATTCCCGAAGTATATCATAGTCTTAAAGTATATAGTAGCCTGCCTCCACAATTGCCCCCGCAGTTGATTCTAATAATCCACCGCACAGCTTTTAGGCGTGGTTATACCACGGATTTTTTAAGAAATGTGTATGCCCATACTCGATTTGAGTAGATAGCTAGTGACATGCTAACTCTTGTGTCTATTTTAAATACAGTTCAGCTTTGTATTCGACCTCATTAATTAGCAGGACTGACTTAGCAAAAGTATCATTTCATTTAAAGTTTTAATATATAAAACAGTGTGCTGTATCTTAATTACGTCTTACACTTGACTGGTAGTACTATCAATAGCATATCTAATTATCGCGGGAATCTACATAGTAGAAAAACATAATAAAGATATATTGCAGTGATTACGAAAGCAATAAGACACGTTATGACGACATATATAGGCATTGAAAACTTATTTCACTTTCTGTAAACTGATTATAAATTATGAATACAATAGCTCGAGCAAGCCAGAAGTAAAAGTGAACTTGGATTGGTTGCTTTTGCAAGAAGCGAAGATACCGTTTTGTTAATTAAAACTGAAGTCATAAATCAAGTAGGATTTTGAACCGATCGACCGTTATTTTAAAAATTACTCAGTTGTAAAATGAATACAATCCGACACAAAGAAAGGAGACCACCTGTTGGTATAGTCATAATGTCTTAATGAACTATTCAAATTAATGAAAAATATATTTGCACAAATAGATATCAAATAGCGCGATATTGAGTAATTAGGGTAAAGCTTTAACTTTTAAATTTGATAAAAATTCAAGTAAATTTATATACATTGATAAACAATTGATAGTATTATATCGTTTATGGAACTTCAAGATCCTACTTTTACAAAGATACAAATATATATAAAGTAGCAAATATTAAGGTATTAATTTATATTTTCTAATTTTTAGATCCGAATTATATGAATGAAAGGGTAAATCTAGTCGGTCCATTCGATCTAACAAATCTACAAGCACTTCCCGATAGTCCATCGAAGCGAGGCCGAAAGATCCGGCGTACCATAAGTCGGGGAACACAGGAGACGATAATCACCGAAGAACCCGCGGACGACTCCGAAGACAGCGAAACAACAAGAGCAACTCATAATGTCTTAGAAAGAAGACGACGTGAAGAACTGAAGGAGAAATTTCAACGACTACGAGATTGTCTACCGGAGCTTCAAGATAACGATAGAGCTCCTAAAGTTCTCATTTTAAAGAAATCGTGTGAGTATGTGAAATATTTAGAACAAGAAGAACAACGATTGCTCGCTGATAAAGAACTAGAAAAGCAAAGACTACTTATTTTGTTGAAAAAGCGACATATGCTTGCACAATCGTTTCTTTCCATGCAATGTTAATGACTGTGTGTTTGTACAATTTTATAAATTTTCCAGATAGATATATAGCATATTTTTAGAATTATAACAAATTTTTTTATTTTGTCAACATTTTATATATTCAAATACAACACTAGATATATTGTAAGACGGGCGGGACAATAATAATGAAAGCGGATATCGTCAGTTCTAAAATTAGCATAGACCGTTAACGACACGTGGCCGTTAACGTCGAGAACAAAGAACTTGAAAACCTATTCAAAAACGTGGCGTGTTTTCGTGAGAATATTTCAATATAACTAATTTTAGCGAATAGCGATAACTTAATAGCGTCGAAATACTATTACTCATTTATTTTCAAATAGCTTGTTTGGTACTCATAATGAGTTACGCCGTTCCAAAAAGAAGAATTAAACATACAATTAGCATAGATCATACGATCTGTGGCCATTTGGCTCGTGTTTATTTTACCCGTCTTAAACAACCCTTGAAAACTGTCAAATGACTTTGCCCGTAAGTCAAATGAAAAATTTAGACTTTATGAGCCATTGACGACATTTATGATCAGCACTGGTATCCATTTAATCATGAGACTCGCGACCGTATCAAGTTCTGACTGATATAACATGTACAGACTGCCGATATGTATTTCTACAATAAAATCAAGTGCCGATTTACATGAAAAATACAAGAGTGATTCAGACTATTTTGCATCGTTGAGAACGACAGTCACAAAAAATAGAAACCATGGCCAGGTTTAACGGTAGTTCCAGAAACTGTACGGATATTTTAATAGTATGTTAATATGCAATTTTCGTATTTGTTTCACGATTATCTAATTCAAAAACATTTTAATTCTTCTGAGACAAAGACCTGTCAACTTCCACACTGAGTTGTCATAGAGCTTGACACGTCCGTTGACGTCATATGACCGAAGTTGTTTCATCTCGCATAAAGGAACAAGGAGGTTTTTCATTAGGAAAGTGAAATATAGTACTTGTACGATACTTGCGTACATAAATATAACTATAAACCACTAACTAAATGGAAAATCTTGTTGGAAGTGAGATTATTTCGGATCGAGATGCTCCTTTATGTAACTTTTTTCAGTTTTTGTTAAGAATGGAAATGTACTTCTACTACTTCCCTGAATGATTTTTCCTTGCTTCGCTCAATCCCGTAGAGAAAGGCATGTTCGGTGGAAGGGAAGTTAATCTTGCATGGATGCCGATAATATCCTTGAGTACAATTTCCTCAATATAGTAAAGTTATTCAACAAACCACGTTGCTCTTTATGTCGTCAAGCTCTAATCATATTTAAAGTACTTAAACTCTTGAAATACCACGACAGCTAGGAATGTTAGACTTCCTCAGTCGGGGGCAAAAATACCCTGATCAAGGGCTTCCTTAAATAATGGTCGTCCTTATTTGGTAAAATAATTGTAACTATCGAGCCTATTATTTGGCAAATAACTCGTTTTCACAAAAAGATCCAAATTTTCTTCACCAAAACATTAATAAAATTACATCTGCACTTTTTAACATCCGGAATCTCTGCAAATATTTATAGTCACTTCCTATATATATAGTTGTGTGTGTTTTATGACCTTTTATAGCTTCAGTGCTCAGAATATGTTTGTATTTCCTTGCTCATTATGATAATTAATTCTGCAGTCTCAATATACCTAGTGTTGTTAGTTGCTTCTACTCGAAGTTCATTAAATTACAAATTACGCATAATTTTCAGCTTATTACTGATATTGCATGACACATTCAAAATTATATGTACATTTTTTTATAGAAACAGCTAGCTAAACTTAGAATGGACACTAAACATTATATATTGTACACAATTTGTACATTTTTCATTTGTAAATTTGATTAGCTTTATAAAATTTATTGAATTGCTATTTGTATTTCTATATTATAGTCTATATATAAAATATAAACGCATTACATTTGCTAGCGTTGACTTCAAAGTGCAAAGTTATTATAGGTTTAATGTTTGATGTTAGTGTCATCATGATTTGTACACTCACAAAAATTGTAACTGTAATTTAATCTGTATAGAATTTTTGAATTTTAGAATTTAATATTCGTTTGTAACTGTAGATAGGTAGCTATTAATTATTCATTGTAACTTTTTATTTTCATTCATTGATACGTGTAAATTAATTGTTTATTGTGATAAAAAATTGAAGTAAATAAAATTTGATACTCTGCTGCAATCTCTTATAATATTTAACTGAGTGGTATTCATAGGAGAGGGAATGGTTGGTACAGCTATACAATCTTTTGCAAAAATTATAGGACATATTGTGTAATTTCACACAATTTGAAAGATGTAGCGCCCACGTCCCCCAGGTCAATGTTAGGCTGAAAAAATCTGATGTCTGGCTGCAAGACGCCAACATTGGAAACGGCTGGGGGGAGGGAGGGTGGGAAGAAATCTATCAAGAAATAGTATAATACATCTACTAAATACATCGGTGTGAAATTCAAAGACACGTCATACTCAAAATTTGTCGTAATAGTTATATGTAGGTTGATACATGCTTTTCATTTGAATGTCACAACTAAAACCCTGATCATGCATGTATAGATTTACTTTACTGAAAAAACTGAGTAAATTTTCTGATGAATTCACTCACGTTTTTGAAATGTTTTTGTAGTGAATAAACACAAGGTTTGGTCTTAAATATTATTTTAACACTCTTTGCTGCTTTGGATTTCCTTGAATTTTGCTTTGCCCTGGACTTGGTACAAGAACTTCGAAAATCCGAATAATGACACGCTGAGTTGTCACTTGTGCATTATAGAGAGTTTAGACACATACTGAAGTTGTCGATTGCGTGAAGATTTTTCCCACACCGAACTCGAAAACCTGGCAGTAGTAGTGGTCTCACCAAGTTTACTGAGACGATGAAAAGATGTGCAATGCACGAAGTAATTTGCTCGTAGACTCGCAAATGACATAGGTATACAGGAGGAGGAAATGGGTGTGCAGAAAGGCAATATACTCATATTCGCGCACGATTATATTTAACAGTTATTCTACGAACTCGAGTCGAATATAAGCTGATAGCTGATGAGGCGCGCGCGTAGCGCCGAATCGGCTATCGCTCATATTCGACGAGAGTGAGTGGAAAAACTGTTTTATTATATACACAAAGTCTGAATTCACAGACTTTGCTTTTCGAATATTTTCAATATTTTTCTATTTTGTTTATGTTTTTATCTTCGCTCTTTCGGCCGATCATTTTTTCAAAAATATATATTTTTAACCATTTTAAATATTAAAAATTTATTTGCTAACCTGAAAACAATTTGTGGGAGGTTTTTCATTGTGTTTTTAATCTTGTGAAGGCTATAAAAAGCGACAACTTGCCGTTTTCTCGTTTGCAAAACATCGTAAATTCAGTTTGGCCGCCATTTTGTTTTTCTCTACTAGCAGGATATGAGCTAATATCCTGCTAGTAGAGAACCAATCAGATTGCAGAATACCTCATATCCAGACCTTGTGTATATAATAATTCTCTTTAATCTTCATCCCAATCTATATAACCTAATCCTATTTTTGCGCAAAACATGAGGATATAACCGGCAGAAAGAAGTTGCCTGACTATGTTTCATTGTGCCCGACCAGTCAAAAATTCTTGTTGACGGGCGTGGAAGAGATATTTTCGAAAGGCTCATTGATCATATTACATATTTCTTGCATTTTCGACCATGATCTTACATAATTATTATGTTTGTGGTGTTAGTCCGAGTGTGCATCCACACCGGGCAAGCTGAAAAGTTTGCCTGACCCCGGTGGGAATCGAACCTGCGACTTTTGGCAAACTTTCCTGCATGGCCGGTGTGGACAGGGCGTAACTCCTGGTGTGGTGGGGTGGGGCGTTGACACCCCCCAATGTTGTAATACTAATTGCAGTTTTGTTGTGCAATTTTAGCAATTTTAACGACACGCTCGTCTGGTAAAAAAATGTAATCCAGCGGAAATAATTGTTTTTGCAAACTTTGTTGAAAAAAACCAAAAAACCCCAATGGAATGGGTTTTTCTACTTTAAAAAACTTTTTTTCTACTTGAAGTCAAGGCATTATACAACATTTGCTACACACACCGGTCTCTATCGCTACAAGAGCCTTTACTTTGGTGTTTCTGCGGCACCAGAAATATACCAACAATATATAATTATATATATATATATATATATATATATATATATATATATATATATATATATATATATATATATATATATATATATATATATATTGTGATTCAACAATCTCTCCAAGGGTGCCCTGGGATGCGAAACATCTCAGATGACATAATTGTTGTTGGGAAAACCCAACAGGAACATGATCATAACCTTAACACTGTCTTAGCAACACTCCAAGAGTGTGGTGTGACTCTCAATAGAGACAAATGCAAATTTAGTGTTTCTGAGGTCACATTTTTGGGTATACCATTTTGGCAAATGGTATACGACCCACCGATGAGACTGTAACTGCCATTCGAAATGCCCCAAAGCCATCCAGTGCCTTAGTACAATAAAAGAAGCCACCAACCAAGATCCAGTTCTTCAATTTCTTCGCGAGCGTATGATGAAGAACAATTGGGCCAAGGTTAGTATGACACGTCCATATCATGGTATCAGACACGAACTGACTGTTATTGATGACATTATCCTTCGTGGATCCCCTTTCTTGATGCCAACGTCTCTCCGAGAACGAACTTTGAAACAAGTCCACGAAGGGCATCAGGGCATCGTGAAGACAAAACGACTGCTAAGAGAAAAAGTCTGGTGGCCTGGCATTGACCAAGCCATAGAACAGCTAATTCGTACGTGCATTGCATGCCAAGCCCAAGGTCCAGTATCCGCACCACCGCCCCTTCACATGACGACTATGCCAAGTCAGCCATGGCAAACTCTACATGCCAATCTGTGTGGACCGTTTCCCAGTGGAGAAAGTCTTCTTGTCATGGTAGATACATGCTCCCGTTGGCCAGAAGTACATGTTATGAAGAGTACTACGTCCACAGCTATCATAAAATGCATGAAGACCACATTTGCAACCCACGGAATCCCGCACGAAATTGTTACTGACAATGGACCACAATTCACCTTCGCTGAGTTTAGTACATACCTTTCCAATTGTGGTATTGTACACTGTAAAGTCACACCCTATTGGCCCCAGGCAAACTCCGAAGTAGAACGTTTTAACCGAACTGTAGAAAAAGCAATACGTGCAGCGAACGTTGAAGGGAAAAACTGGAAAGAAGAATTTGATGTTTTCGGTGAAACTACCTGCAGTTCTCCTTTTTGGCCGTAACATTAGAAATAAAATACCCGTGCCAAAAACATCGACACCAGCTGATGACATACCAGTAACAGTTCGTCAACATGATCGAGAAAGAAGAGAGAAAATAAAGTCTTATGCTGATGACCACAAACGAGCTTCATTGTCCGAGGGGGAAAAGGAAGATGCGATGCTTCTCCGTCAACCTCGGCAAACAAAATTGTCGACAACCTATGATCCGAAGCCGTACATTGTCGAAGAAAAGAAAGGGCCCAGTGTGCTACTGAAACGACCCTTTGAAAGACCGATTATGAGAAATGAAAGTATGATCGATACGTAAGATTCCAGATGGAAAAGACGTCGCGGATGCTAAGAACAGAAGATTCCAAAATTGCGGACAACAGGTCAACGAAGTGAAGAAACATGAAAAGCGGAACGAGGTCAATATAAGACCAAAACGGGCTAGAGCCACCGGACTATTACGGACAGAGCTGATTGAACTTAACAATAATATTCATCTATATTAACAGATTTCTTTATATTTAATAGTCCAATAAGACTGGTTGTGTTTCGTAAATATTAGACAAGTTCATTGACACTAGCTCCAGGTAAAAGGAGGGATATAGTGTCCTGTGACGTAAGTAGTAACGACAGGAACACTGAGGACATTAATTAATGATGCTTGGGGGTATTATGGGTACTGGGTAGGTCTAGTTTGCACGTTGTTTAGTAAAGCAGAGCGAGAATATATGAACGATATTGTGCGTGTTTTATACACTATACTCAGAATAACTCCACAAACATCATATTCACGACCTGAATAACAACACAAATTAAACATCTTATTCATCGCGCGACCTCAGGGAAACTTTTCAGTTGCCGGGTATAAATGCACACTCGGAGTAACACCACATCTTCTGGAGGCAGCTCCCCTTCCCCTACCCTCCCCCCCACCCGCCCCCGTGTCGTACACGCTTAGGGCAAATGATATTATAAACATCAAACTCGACAAAACACATGAATTGAACTTGTAAATTGGAATTTGAGAGATCGATGCTGTGAGGGCCAGCAGTCCCGTAACATAGATTTCATGGGGAAGCAACATAGACTATAATATATACGTCGAATGTTGTCACATCATAAACCCCCGAATTAAACAGGTAAATAGCTTACCTTTTATCCGCGCGAACATTTGGAATTAGAAAACGTCGAAATTTTATAAATATCTCGCGTAAATGACCTATATAAATAAGGGAATGCTATTAATAGGATAAGGTTTTGCGAAACGTAATTCCATGCGTCTGCCCTCTGTGAATAGATCGTGGGGCAGCGGATTCAGCATCTCAATCTGACCGTAGGATTTTGAATAAATAAACCCCCCTTCTTAGGGGGGTTTGGGGGCATGCCCCCAGAAAAATTTCGAAATTTGAAGCCCGCAAGTACCATTTCCTGCATTCTGAGCATCGAAATTAGATTTAAAATTTGTAGAAAAGTGCCTGTTTTTCACACCAAAATAAGAAATAAACGCACAAAAGTGACGAAATTTTTCATCAACGTAACATACCACTTCGAACAACAGATTATCTTGAAAAAAGCAAGATAACAGTAATTCGAAAGTTTTCAAATGTACATCATCTTGAAACAGCGGCCCAACGACAGTTAGGGAAAATGTTTATCTGGTGAAGCAGCATATATAGGTCATCCCGAAACAGCAGGACAACTTATGGCAGTCAGGAAAATCTATTTTTTGTACTGTATATAGATTATCTGAATATCTCCAAGTTTAATAGGAAAAATGTTTATTTGTAGATCATCTTGAAACAGCAGCACAACGGCAATTAGGAAAATGTTTATTTTTATATGTTTACTTTTATCAAAATTCGCACAGTACTGCAGGAATTTGCGAAGAGCTGGGTGCGCAAATTTTAGTACTGCGGGAAATATAATCCGCGCGAAAAGCTTTGCGGTGTAATATGAGACACTCATTGTTACTAAATAATGCAAATCAGTTGATATAAAGGCAATACCCTGTATGAACCTATAATATATGAGAATGCTAATAAAAATTAGTTATTGTATTAGGCAAATGAAAACCATACAAAAAATTTTAGTTCTTGTTGGTATTTTGAAGTTTGAACTTACGCTTTACTAGTATTTGTTATAAACAAACCAAAGCGAATTTAAAGTTTCGCGAACAAGTCTCGCGAAATTAGAATGCGCGAATTTAAAGATGAACGAAAATTAGTACGACGCGAATTTTAATACAAGTAAGGTATACAATACATGGATTTGAAACACCTAACCATATATTTTATGATACATTATCCCAGGAAGCAGGCTCAGCTGTGCTAGCTCAGCTGTTGTAATTCTAAACTCTGTTAGCCCAGTGTACATATAAACTACAATATAATATATCGGAGTGTAACTATTTCTATAAATTTCATTTACACTGCTCACTAGTCTTTATAGACTACAACAGGTCTACAATATATTAACTAGTTATAGAAAATCCATTCGCACAAATAATTACATGAGCAAAGTCTAAGATATAAAATATATAGGAGATTAACTTACATATTTCTTAATATAAACACACATGGCATGCCAATGGCTATCAAATAGTGTGATGGCCATTGATATTGTTCTGTATTTTTATAATAATACGTTTCATCAGCAAAAATATGGTAATATATTCAAGACGAATGAACTGTGTAAACAATTCGATATGTTATTTACATATTTGATATACTATAAGACTGAGACTGACCTGACACGGAGGTGATTCAAACAGCGCTGTTGGTTCACATCGCGGGAAATGCAAATTATGTCAAAAATCGCACACCAAAAGCTTTCGATCAGAATTCTTTCGCGCGCCTTTTCGTTAAATGAAACACGTTACATTCGTTCATTATACACAGAAGGTCGTGGAGTGGATCTAACGAGCGGCGATTAAAATTTACCGACTATTCGATTACAACGAGGAGCCGACACCGGACAATAACAAGCCAGCATCGCTCTGAAGTCGATGCGACTATTGCAAACGGTAGCATTTTGCCTCATTCTGATTGGCTTGCTTCGTCTGACCGTAGCAAACCAATCAGCATGCCGTATTGCGAATTTTTGCAACGGTCAGTTTCAATCTGACCACTGCAAAAATTTCCAAATACAGCGCTATGATTGGTTTGCTACGGTTAGATGAAGCAAGCCACTCAGAATGAAGCAAACGCTACGGTTTGCAGTGGTTTGTGCCGACTTCAGAACGATGTGATACAGTATTGGTGTAAAACCCGCAAATACAGGTGTAAAACCCGCAAATACAGGTAGTATTTCGGGCGGAAATTTGAGAAAAAGCCGAACTTAATTATCCAAAATGAAATAAAAACTCAATAAAAATTTTATCAATATAATTTAGTAAATTTGAAAAAATTGCACCAAGTTTCAATGAAAAATTGAAAATATCAGCAATTAAAAAATAGTATAACTTTTTAGTTTTTAATAACTTTAAAAAAGGTACACCCTGGGAATATATATCTCGGGGAAAATCTGACCGTAGCATATATATAAGCGCTTGAATTCTTAGCGTTATATAAAGCTTGATCGACAGTCAACACTCTTTTCCACACTCAGCAGTTTCAGTTTCACTTCTGGGACGGTAGATTGCACGCGCTTAATCATATTAATAGCCTGCGTGGCAGGCCCTCAATTTTATGGGGGGGGGGGCTGATTTGCAGCGGGCAGGATTTTGGCGGGCTCCGGGGAATCCTGCCCGCTGCAAATCAGGCCCCCCATAAAATTGAGGGCCTGCCACGCAGGCTATCACATTAATTAAACAAAGCGCATAAAATGCACATGCTCAGCCAGATTTTACGTTCCACACTAGCATCATTAACTACTCGTTATTCATCTTCGACCTCGCCGGAGAACTGAAGTGATTTATTCACATCTGCACTTCGCACCACGATGAATATTTCGCTTAATAGAAGAAATCAGAGTTATATCGTCGGAAATTCATTTACAAATTCAATGCAAATTCCGAATTTTCATAAATTTGCCAAATTACCAACGTCGTATAGTTAAAATTGCAACTACTTTACAAGGGTGTGACAAAGTGCAATTTCGCCGCTGTAGTGTATCAGTTTTATGCAGTTCCTCTGTCTCGGTAAATAACTCTTTCCTTTTGATATTTTAAGTTTTCTGAGGGGAGAACCAAACCATAGGCCATGTTTCTAGCCAGTGCGCTTCTGAGAGGCATTCACCCCCCTGAATGTCCCCCACTTTGAATATTTTTGGGTTGGTGAAATTATGCACACTAGCTTGGAACATCGTGACAGAATTGCAAGTTATTTGCAACAGTTACACCAAAATCATAGGCAAAACCAAGAAGTCGGCCTTATAAGATCTCTATTCTGTGAGTGCACTATTTATTGCCATTATCATATGTAAACGCTATAACCTGTGACCAAACCTTCAACTGAGCCCAACACCTTTCTCATGCATTTCACAATTTAACCAATTTGATAATTTCGGGTGTTTTGTTTAATTTAATTAAAATAGGTTTGCATAAGTTTGCAGATCGCAAAGCAAGTATCATATCATCGCATAACATGGTCCAAAATTTTCAAATGTGCATGCAAGTGCAGAATTGTGCAACACGGTCTTCAAGTATCGATATATTGCTGTACGTGCATTTGCAATTTTATAATCATGGGCGTGAGCTGCTGGCCAGTATGCGGAATTAGATGCAGAATACCACCGATGTAATAAAATATAATATTTTTTGCTTCTTATATGTCGGTAGTTCATTTTACGACTATGAACAGTTCAAAATCTCTAATTCACTTTCCCACATGATCTGCCTCGGAGCTATACTGATGGGTTCTCATCGGCTTTCTGGGCGGCTGGGTAATGTCTGTTCCAACCGCGTGCTGCATGTAGAGTAACTAGGGTACCTGCAAGGTAGGGATTGCTGCGGGCATTAAAAGCAAATAGAACTACAGTAAAAAGCACAAATTATATCAAGCACAGTGATTACACGCAGCGTCTAGTGAGCTGTGAATGGAACTGAGAAGAAGCAATATACATTGAAATAGCAAGTGTCATGCAAGTGTCAAGAGTCATGCAAGCAAAACCAGGGGTTAAAGGGCAATCAGAGGTGACATATTAAACATGTGCGTCTCATTGACATACAGGAAATTAAGGATCAGATTTCATATCAAGTCTGTTTAATGCTAGGCGCATCTACTCATAGTTAAAGAAGAGGGTTTGGAAGGCCGGCAAACTTCAAAGGCTTTCGAGCTAATTAATTTCAGATGTTGGAAAGGTACGTCACGTGACATTTCGGGTGCATCAAATTCAGAAATTACTATAGCGTAGTATTACAAAAATATGATTTTGTGCTTATAAATTTTAAAATAAGGCATTGTTGTTCTTGTTATGGATTCGACAAGTTCGGCATACGATTCAGAAAGCAAAATACACCCAATTCTGGGTGCTGGATACGCAGATACAACGACGGAGGCGATTTTCATCAAACTATTTAGCTGCTGCAAATCAACGCGGATGAATTAACTGACGAAATATCGCGTGCAGTTGAAGAAGTAAGTCCTTTATACTATGACGTCATATTTCCGCCAAAATTCAAGTTTTCTATTTGTGATCCTAGTTTGTGTATTTTGTTCAATTCTTAATACAACATTCAACTTTTCACAATTGAACATTCAACTTTTCACACAATTGAACATTCAACTTTTCACACAATTCAACATTTAACTTTTCACACAATTCAACATTCAACTTTTACGCAATTCAACATTCAACTTTTCACAAAATTCAACATTCAACTTTTTACGCAATTCAACATTCAACTTTTTACTCAATTCAACATTCAACTTTTACGTAATTCAACATTCAACTTTTTACGCAATTGAACATTCAACTTTTTTGAACATCCAACCGCAATCCAATTTAAACGACGTAACGCCGGCTCACATGTGGCTCAATCACGAGGTGTAAAATATGGCGGATTTAAGCGAATGAAAGAGACACTAGTCAAGTTAGCAAATAGAATTTCCGACTTGCAACAGTCAAGTGAGGCATCTAACAATTCAGGTAAGTGTAATATTGATTGTATTGGTTTATTAATATTCCTCTAAAAGTACTGTACTACACCTGAGTGACCTCTACTATTTTGTCAACATAAAATTTTAAATTTAGCTACATAAAATTTGCGGCGCTAGGGTAGAGTGTCGTTTGTATAATCTTATGTTTTTAGGATAAATTGATTCGAACAAAATAAAAAGCAGCGAATAAGTGAATGGAAGGTGTTTTTGTACACGTTTAATCCACAACTTGATCGAAATATATTATAAAGTGTATACAGGTGAATATGATGCTTGTGATGTTACTCTGAGTGTATATCTACACCGGGCAAGCTTGAAAAATATGCCTGACCACGGTGGGAATCGAACCTACGACCTTTGGAATGCTAGCCCAATGCTCTGCCAACTGAGCTACGCGGTCTGGTCGGTTCGAGTATGTGATATTTCGGAACTGAATCTAGTTCCTTCGATACCAGAGTGCATTCCATGCACGTTTTGTGGAAGATCTTCGGCGTGAGTTTTGAATTGCTGGCGCACAATCACGTCAAGGTTGGCGCACAAGTTTTGAGTTTGGTGGTTGGCGCAGCATCAAATGTTTAAGCGAGACTTTGAGTATCAATAATCTCCTGGTGATTGGATTGGCCTATATAATTCTTTAAGTTTAGGGACTCGAGAACTTTGCGTTCCTAGTCAGTGTAATATTACTAAATGGTGGTTATAACTTGTGATACAACAGTAACAACACTCATCATTGCTCATCAGCAAAACATCTTATTCATCAACTACACGCCTTTTTAGCAAGTTTTAATTTTTTAAAAAATAACTATTAATGAAAAATCACGGTGCCCACGATCAGCCGGCGCACAAGTTGACCTCACTTGGCGCACGACAACACTACCTCAGATTATCTTCGGCGTGAGGTTTACACAGAATGCAGAGTGCATTCTGTGTAAACCTCACGCCGAAGATAATCTGAGGTAGTGTTGGGTGGCTTCGATATCAATGTAATCTAATAATCATGATTTTTTCTGTGTTGGTGTAATGTACTCAAGTGAATATAATGCTTGTGATGTTACTCTGAGTGTATATCTACACCGGGCAAGCTTGATAAATATGCCTGACCACGGTGGGAATCGAACCTACGATCTTTGGAATACTAGCCCAATGCTCTGCCAACTGAGCTACGCGGTCTGGTCGGTGTCGAACCGAACATCACAAGCATCATATTCACCTGTATACACTTTATAATATATTTCGATCAAATTGTGGATTAAACATGTACAAAAACACGTTCCATTCACTTATTGGCTGCTTTTTATTTTGTTCGAATCAATTTATCCTAAAAACATAAGATTATACAAACGACACTCTACCCTAGCGCCGCAAATTTTATGTAGCTAAATTTAAAATTTTATGTTGACAAAATAGTAGAGGTCACTCAGGTGTAGTACAGTACTTTTAGAGGAATATTAATAAACCAATACAATCAATATTACACTAGCTTACCTGAATTGTTAGATGCCTCACTTGACTGTTGCAAGTCGGAAATTCTATTTGCTAACTTGACTAGTGTCTCTTTCACTTCGCTTAAATCCACCATATTTTACACCTCGTGATTGAGCTACATGTGAGCCGGCGTTACGTCGTTTAAATTGGATTGCGGTTGGATGTTCAAAAAAGTTGAATGTTGAATTGCGTAAAAAGTTGAATGTTGAATTACGTAAAAGTTGAATGTTGAATTGCGTAAAAAGTTGAATGTTGAATTGCGTAAAAAGTTGAATGTTTAATTTTGTGAAAAGTTGAATGTTGAATTGCGTAAAAAAGTTGAATGTTGAATTGTGTGAAAAGTTGAATGTTCAATTGTGAAAAGTTGAGTGTTGAATTGCGTAAAAAAGTTGAATGTTGAATTGTGTGAAAAGTTGAATGTTCAATTGTGTGAAAGTTGAATGTCCAATTGTGAAAAGTTGAATGTTGTATTAAGAATTGAACAAAATACACAAACTAGGATCACAAATAGAAAACTTGAATTTTGGCGGAAATATGACGTCATATTATACTATGTCCAATTAAACGATGTGTAGTGAGATGCCTTAGACTTAATATTTGACTTATATTTGTCGTTTAGATTGAAGGATTAAAGCAATTCCCGTGCGAATATCGACGCAGTATTTAATAAGCACTCGACAAATTCTACAGCTATAGTACTGCCAAAGGGAAAATCAAAACCCATGTTATATGACTTATCACGCATATGAGAAGGCATTGTCGATGATTCGAGAGGTAGGGAAAAGGAAAGAATATTTTCATCCATACAGAGAAGATAAAGTCGTGCTTTTAATGCTGGTGAATATGCCCGAACGGTTGACTTTGCTAACCAGCAGACATTCTAAAGTTATTATAAACGCTGAAGAAACTGCATGCTTCAATACCAGTAAATATCTTAATACTGTATATATAGACAATATAACCTAGATATAAATGTCTTAAATAGTAGGCCCTAAGGCTTACGTCCAATTGTCAATTACAAGACAGTCCAGATATTGACCTACTATACAGTGATTCAATGTCTACTAGAAAATACATGCATGCCGAGAAACCCTCGCCTTCCTGACAAAACCATTGTATTTTCCGAACGTGAAGTTCTAAAGTAGTTGTCATGGTAACATGATAATTCTTTAAGAATATTCTTACAAATGAAAAATCGCCTAAAAATATCACAAAATTATTAAATTCCCAACATATATATGTTAGGTATGTTATTATACGTAATATAAGCCTCAATATAAGGTAAAATTCAACCACAAACGTTTCGCAAAACGTTTTAAAGTGCTGTTTAACTAAACTGCCTTTAATTAAATGGCTTTATCGATAAACTTTGAGTTGCAATAAAATGATTTCGAATTCTCGCTTGCAAATAACTTTGCTTTTTTTTTATTTAAATAATTTAATATAATAAAAAAGTCAATCAATATTAAAGATACACTGAGCGAAATTATATTCTGTCTTGTTTAGTTGTTTCATATACACAAAGGCCGTCGGGTTTTAAAGCCATTATAAAATCAATATTTAAAACGAACTTACCTTCGTTAACGTCGCTCCCTTCTTTTAGCCGATTCTTTCGAAGTTTCTTTCAGAGAGAGCTTTTGAAATTTACAAAATATTGCAAAAATGCGAGTAAAAATGAAATATATTCGCAAGAAATTTATCAATCATGAATCATCAAATCTAGAAATGTTTGCTATTTCGCTGTCGTCATGCAGTCGTTATAATGCAAACTTTAAATTGGACCAATCAGTGTCTGGTATTCATGACAGTCCGCCATATTTTTAGGTCAGTGAGGATGACCACCCACCCAACACCGTTGGTGACCCACGCCCGCGATATTTGATGAACTTTAGACTCCGCTAATGCTTTCGTTTCCCCGGGTGTAAATAGCCGGGGGGAATTAGTACCCTCGCACGGCGCTTCGCGCCGGGACTAACATGTGATTTGTTAGTTTTGATCATTCTGTCACATCAAAATAGAATGTTATTCCAAGGTTCCATGATATTTCATGCCATCCCACAGTTTCCAAGAGGGTATTAAACTTAGTTCTTATTCCTCTCCAAACGCTTTGTAGACCAACTGTTTGATGTGCCAGAAGATTTTACCTATGTGCAAAGGATTATATACCCAGAAATATTTTTAATGTTTGTATTCTACTAGTAATTATCAGTGAAATCAGAAGAGCTTGGACCACCCAGCTTATGTTGCTGGGGAGGGGCCCTCAGCCCTGTGGGTACCAAATTCATGACTTAATGATATTGCTAGAATCACTGAATCGTGCTTTAGAAAGCACACAAGAATTGGCAAACCTACTTCTTTACATGTTGAGAAAGTTATTAAGAACGTCCAAGCTCCTCCATTAGCAAAAAGTTTGTGGAATGACATTATTGAGCAATCTAATAGCATTGCAGTATCAAAAGAATGCCAGTCCTTATGTTTTGAGAACATTGTTAAACTGTATGGCTGTTCAAAGTTTCAAATTTTGCCATTTGTCGTGCTCCAGCCCGATTTCTGGTTCTGAAAGGCCCGATTCTCCGCCAAAGAGTGCACGCCAAGCAGGCTGGTCATTTCATTGTTTAACTGCCCCACACTCAAATAACAACAAAGACTCACAGATATTGCTTTGCAACATCTGTAAGTCACAAATTATGCAATCTGAACAACATTTTTCACAAAGGCAAAGGGCACTTTGCCACCGGAAAAAGGGCACTTTTTGCATCTTCTGAAAACTTGGGGGGCATTGGCCCCCCAGTTCCTATGCCCCTGGTTGACAGCCAATTTAAGATGTGAATAGTGTACTTATTCACTGCGTCAGTGTGCTCTGATTCTAGCCGTTGTTGTCTCTCAAACCACGATAACTCAAAGTTGAGCCTGCCAATGTCCTGTATATTTGAGGTGAAACATTTTGAGGGGAAAAATTTTGTGTAATAGTGATTTACTGTATATATTAGTATAAACTTTCACAAATTATTCAACTAAGGTAATATATTGTTCTAGTCTTATTGTTCACCTATTCATTTATAATCTGTTTTAATAATTTATTTTATAACATATGTACAAATTATTGCATATTACTCTTTTGAAGCAGTGCTGTCATTAAGTTTACAAGTAGGTGGCCGAAAAATGATTGAACATTGAAGGCACAAGACTCCTAGAGGAATCTGGGTGCATGCCCCCAACCCAAAATCTAAACAATCGGAAATGCCATTCCCTGCATTTTGGAAGGTATTTTACAGAGTTCTTAAGATTACAAAACATCCTATCAAAGCCTGACCTGTTTGAAATCATTTAATCTTTTGTTTTAATTTTTATGTTCTGACTAGAGGAAGTAAAAGGTTTGTTTATTGCTTCACAGTTTTGTTTATATGAACTTTGTTCAGACAAAAGTAGGCAAGCTACAGGCCCTTAATGACAGCTCTGTGTACAAAAACCTCACAAAAGTTCTCACTAGATTACTTCTTCTGTTTTATGTTACACGGCAAGGCCCTTTCTAATCCACCATACCATTTACTCCTCTGACCAGTGTGATGACCAGCAACGTTACCTGGCTCCAATTGTCGATATAGAGAGGTATGCTTTTCTGGCCGGTAAATTAAAGGTAGGAATACCACCAGCTACAAGTCTTTTGCAGGTGGGAACTAAAGCAGAACATAAAATACCTGATTATATATACTGTAAGTTGACTTAATTTATACTAGTATTGTTAAGATAGTAATTATAATGACTAAAATTCACAGCAAACAAGATTTATAATAATAACTGTAAATAGGGCTTTCATATACTATGACATGCCCAAACAAAAATCCTATTACTTTATTATGCCACTTTCTTGCTATTAAAACAGCCTTTGAATATTAATACTTTAGTTACTGTATACGAAAATGTTTCTACTGTCCTCAGTGACAGTGTCCTGAATTTATGTCTACCTTCATTTTATGAACACAAGGATTAACTGTTATATAAATATGACCTAATGACCGAAACGCACTTTTATGCAAATCATTAACATTTATATTTTTCCTGCTCCATGACCATATGGTTAATACAAATTTGATCATTTGACACATGAAATAAATACAGTACTTCTGCTAAGTTGTAACTTTCAAGCGTTCATACCGAAATATCGATACCTCTACCAGAGAAAGAAAATAACTTACATGTTTCAGCTGGGTCTTTTCAAAGTGTCTTTCACAAACGTGAAGTGTTTGTTGAGCGATTTGATTTCTTAAACTTGCATCTATCTCTCGATCCAGCGTCCTTTGTGACAAGCCTCGCCAACGCTTCGCGAATATTTCGTCGATAAATCGTCGTCTTTTGTTGGAATTCAAAAAATACTGACACCAAAGTGTTTTCTACTAGTCCCGCAACCATATATGTAGCAATTTGCACCTGGTATTTGGATATTCTTTCTGTAAAAGACGTTTTCCAAGTACTACA